GGGAGGGGGTTGTGAAAGTATAATTACATAGGGACCATAAGGGAATACTAGTAGTAATTACTCCAGCTTGGGATGTTCCCCCGTATACTAACTCTAATCCCTATTAAGGACTGTTAGTATAAGGGAGAAAACCCTAAACCCTAAACCCTAAACCCTACACCCTACACTTGTACACCCTAAACCCTTTGTTAGGTTTGAGGGGCTTTAGGGGTTTAGGGAACCTTACGCGGCGCTGTCCAAGTTCAAACCAAGGAGCTGCTGCAGGAGCGCCATGTGCCTGAGGCATGATCCACCCTAAACCCTAAACCCTAAACCCTAAACCCTAATCCCTAACCCTAAACTTTGGATGTTCCCCCTTATACTAGCACTCCTTAATTTGGATGTCAGTACCCCCTGCTATATAATCCCTGTGAAGGACTGTTAGTATAAGCGGAAAAATCCCTAAACCCTAAACCCTAAGACCCCCTGATGAAACCCTAAATGCCCCCGAATGCCCAACTCAACGCAAATACACCCTCCCCCCCCCCCCCCCCCCCCAACAAAATAAAAACAAACTCACCACCGGCCTCCAGCCCTATAAACATTGAAGCCCACAACGTGAGGGTTTGGGGTTTAGGGTTACGGTTTAGGGTTTAGGGTTCGGGGTTTGGGATTTTGAGCTTTATAAAGGGGCTCCTAAACCTGCCTTCGATCTGCACGGCCCAAAACATGCATGTGACAGCGGAGATTCAAGAGATTTTACGGAGGGATGAGCAAGTGGCTGCCCTGCTAAACCCTAAGCCTTAAGCCCTAGAGCCTGAACCCTAAACCTTAAGGCCTAAACCTCGAAACCTTAAGCCCTAAACCCTCAACCCTAAACAACCTTGCAGCCTGCACCCTAAACCCCAAGTCCTAAAACCCCACAACCTGCACCCTACACCCTAAACCTTAAGCCCTAAACCCTAAAACCCTTGCACCCTAAACCCTAAGCCTTAACCCTAACAACCTAGACCCTGAACTCGAAGCAAAAGAAAGGCTGCACCCTAGGCCCTAAACCCTAAAACCCCTACACCCTGAACCCTCAACCCCAAGCCCTAAACCCCAAAACTCTACAGCATACACCCTAAACCCTCAATCCTTAAACCTACGCCCTAAAACCTAAAACCCTACACCATGCACCCAAAACCCTAAAACCCCACACCCTGCACCAAAACAACCTAAACCCCAAAAACCATACGACCTGCGCCCGAAAAACTAAAATACCCACAAGAACATGGACCAGCCGGTTTTTGCTCTTCTACGGGATCCGCAGTCTTAATTTGGGCCCCTTGTTATATATGGGTTTACGATATTACGGGCACCTTATTGTGGTTCTTATTGTAAGGGACTCCTACTATTTGGGGGGCTTCCCTATTTTCGTAAAGACCCATACTTCGGATCTCTATAGGGGTAAGGGACCACATGAAATCTTAGGAAGCCCAGCCTCAACCCTACAAGCCTAAACCGCGAAACCCCTCTAACCCCTAAACCCTATTAAACCCCTATAACCCTAAAACTAAACCCTAGAACCCTAAACCCTAAACCCTATAACGCTATAACCCCATGACCCCATAACCCCATAACCCTATAAGCCTATGACCCTATAACCCTAAACCCTAAACCCCCTAATTACCCTAAACCCTAAAAAGCCTCAGAAGAAGATGGTCCAGCCAAAGCGCCGACTCCCGGGTTCGAAACAGCACATCAGCCCATTCCTCACACAAGGAGAGCTTGGCTTGGGGTTTAGGGTTTAGGGTTTAGGGTTTAGGGTTTAGGGTTTAGGGTTTAGGGTTTAGGGTTTAGGGTTTAGGGTTTAGGGTTTAGGGTTTAGGGTTTAGGGTTTGGGGTTTGGGGTTTAGGGTTTAGGGAAAGCCTAAAGCCAAAAACCTCAACATGAACCCTTCAGGGACAAGTGCTCTACACTCGCTGAGCCTCTGAACCCCCAAGCCTTCAACGTGCAAAACCCTCAAACCCGAAAGCCCCAACCCCTGAAACTTAAGCCTAAGCCGCTAAAACCCGAAGCTTCCCACTTACTGCCCTACAGCCCTAACACCCGCAACATCCAGCTTGCCTAGTAGGGCTTTCTGGGTTTCCGTGCTTCAAGGATTAGGGCTTTCGGGGGTCCGGGGTCCAAAGGGAACCCTAAACCCTAAGCACTAAAATCCTAAACATCGTAGATCCAGCAACGAGAAGCATCAAGAGCACACCCTACCCCCTAGCTGTAGCTAAGCCCTGAGCCGTCAAACCCTGCACCCTACAAGCCCGAAGCCTCTTCATCCTATAAACCTTACCTTCTTTACAGGGTTCTGAAGTATGGCCCCTTGGGTTGTCTAGGGTATATAAGGGTTTTGGGTTTAGGCGCTAAAGCTCACACGTCTCGCAGCTTAGGGTTTGGGGCTGCGGCTGGCCTTGCCTGCAGGTAAGGCCTAAACCCCAAACCCGAACCCTAGGGTTTAGGGTTTAGGGTTTGGGGTTTAGGGTTTCGGGCTAGGGTTTAGGGAAACACCCTGAACCCGAACCTTTCGACCCGGCGTCCAGCCAACATATGCCAGCACCGCCGCGGCGACCATTCCCATAAATGCCGCCAGGGCGAGGACGAGGCCTCGGCGTCCATGACCAGAGTCTCCAATACCCCTTTATGAAGGACAATTCCCTCAACCACATAAGGAACCCTCTGATACTTGAATATTCCTTAATTGAGGAAAATTCCTTTACCGACATAAGGAACCCTCTTATGCTTTAAGGAGTATTCCCTAATCAAGGGGTATTGAGGTCCTTGGGGAGGACCACAACGCACGCTCCAGCCGAGGGTCTTGGGCTTAGTTAGGGTTCTTAGGGTTTTTGGGCATGGTTTCGGGGGATTAGGATAGGGTTAACCCTAAACCCTAATCCCTGGCTTTGCTTCTACGGCGCCTAACTATGGAGTGGGAAAGTAACAGTAAGGTGCAAGGATTAGGGTTTAGGAGCATTCTCGCATTTTACAAGGAGAAACACTACGTACGTTTTCTTTGCGATAAGAGAACCTCACTTTCCGTTGAAAACAAACCTCTCGTGCTGTTGACTTTAGCATGCGAACCTCGTTCTTTATGTTTTGACAGTAAGCCTCGGTTGACTTCTTTGCATTATGTTGCCCTGAAGAACCCGGACTGTTTTTCTACCAAGAACAAATTTATGGGTTGCCCTGGATAATCACTAGTTTTCGACAGGTTCCCAAACCCAAAACCCTAAACCCGAAACCCTTAACCCTAAACCCTATACCCTGAACCCTAGCCCCCAAACCCTAAACCCTATACCCCAACCCCCAAACCCTACGCCTCAGGGTTTAGAGTTTAGGATGTTGGGACCCCTGCACTCCGGGGCGGGGCCTAATGGGTGTAGAGTCGGCCTCCAGGGCTTAGGGTTTAGGGAATCGGGCTTCGGGGTTTAGGGTTTAGGGTGTAGGGTTTTAGGGTTTAGGGTTTGGGGTTTAGGGTTTAGGGTTTAGGGTTTAGGGCTCGGACACGCAGCTTCTGCAGAAGAGGGGCTGGCAAGGATCAAGGTCATGTTGCCCAGGTGCACGGGATCGCCAGGAGAAGGATGGGAAGAGACAAATCGGAACCAAAGCCTAGCTGACTCACACTCCCGCATGAGGTGCAGCTGTGATGTTGAAGGATTTTCCTGCAGCTGGTGCTTCATCATGGCAGGGGCTTGCGGCTTCAGAGTGTTTTACTACACCACGGCCGGACGACCCTTACAGCGCAGTGGGCTGAGCATGCCAGGACTGGCGGAGCCGGCGTTGCGACGGTGATCATCGCCCTGCGGCCCTGAACGCCACCCACTCCCCCCAGCAAAAAAGGAAAAGTAACACACTCTTTGCCCGCAGTCTCGTGACTCTAGTGGGAGTTTACGAAGATAAGGGACCCCGAATAGTAGGATTCCTTATCCCTTTCTACAAAGGACCCCTATAAGGTACTCCAATTATCGTAAACCCCCTAGTAGAAATGACACTCACTTGCTGGAAACGACTCTGACATGGTCGGCATGCTTCTTGGCTCGCAGAAATTGCTCTGAAGTAGATCTGCAATTCAGTACAATCCTAGGTGCCCCCAAGTCCTCCAACCCGAAACCCTAAACCCTTTTTAAGTTTGGGGGGCGGGAGAGCCTGAGCGCACGTCAGGGGGTAGCACTGGGAATCCCAGGGTAGCTCTCAAAGACCCAACCCCTAAGTCCCATAAAGCCATCGGGATCACACAGTACGAGAGTCCCAAATTGGGATCGCATACCCTTTCCTACGATACTAATCCCAGATGGGGATCACATACCCTATCCTACTATAAGCCCACATTGGGATCATGCACCCTATATGTTTATCCGTATCAGGCATAGGGTATATATATATATATATATATAAACCATCCCGAGTTTTCCTAGGGTATATATATATATATAAACCATCCCGAGTTTTCCTTGGCGCGTCGTTGCATTTCCTCCGTCGCGCGGCGCTCGCGCGAGTTGACGCGCGCCAGGCGCCAGGGACTCTGGGGCACTTGCGGGTACCGGCTTTGGGTACCCCTGCCCTCAATCCAAGTGTCCCCAGCGCTATTAGTATTCTAGTATAGAGCACTTTTCTGTGCGTTTAAATGTGAAGTCCTAAACCCTACGCTAAGCCCTAAACCCTATAAGCCCTAAACCGTAAACCGTAAACCGTAAACCGTAAACCGTAAACCCTAAACCCTAAACCCTAAACCCTGAACCCTGAACCCTGAACCCTGAACCCTAACCCTGTTGAGGGACGACGCGTCAAGTCTCGTGGCTGCGTCTTATGGCACCTGGGGGAAATGGAGGGCCCCAAAAAACCGGAGTCCAAGTGCTTGAGCTCTCAGACCTTCTGAGCCCCAAGCCCTAGTTTAGGGTTTAGGGTTTAGGGTTTAGGGTTTCGGGTTTCGGGTCTGGGGGGGGGGGGGGGGGGGGAACTGCCGTGAACTTGAAAGTACAATGCCAGCTCACTTAAGACCCAGCGCCTTGTCGTCTGCCTCCGCCATTCGCCCGAGCGGATTCAGGTTCCCAAAGGGCCCAATGTTGCTTCATTAAGGAAGATACCTGAAATCATATTAAGGATCCTTATAATATGATTTAAGGTATATTCCTTACTTAAGCAATATTGGGCTCTTTGGGTTTAGGGCTTCAGGGTTTAGGGTGGCGGGCGTACGGATCACAACTCGTACTGCCGAAGCTTGCACTCCCCCAAGAGCTTAACCCTAAACCCTAAACCCTACACCTAAAAATGCATTTTCGCCCTGTAGACGAGTTGGGAGAGGCCCCCCTCCAACAAAACAATCCCCTCACTTCAGGGGTTGTCAGGGTTTAGGATTTAGGGTCAGGGCTGAGAGCACTGCTTAGGGCAAGCGCGGCTTAGGGCTTCAGGATTTGGGTTGGTGCCACAAGTCAAGGGAGCCTGGAACCGGGTTTAGGGTTTAGGGTTTAGGGTTTAGGGTTTAGGCCTTCGTGGGTTGAAGGGTTCATTACTACAGGGCTTAGGGCCTCGAGGGTTCAGGGTTTTGGGGCTTAGAGTTGAGAGCTTTAGTGTATAGGCAGTGTATAGGGCTTATGCACCCCAAATCCCTATTCTTAACCCTAAACCCTAAACCCTAAACCCTAAAAACCCTAAAAACCCTAAAAACCCTAAAAACCCTAAACCCTAAACCCTAAACCCTAAACCCTAAACCCTAAACCCTAAACCCTAAACCCTAAACCCTAAACCCTAAACCCTAACCCGAAACCCCAAACCCTAAGGATGCGTGACGCTGGACGACATGACTGCGCCAGCCCACGATGCAGCTGTGAGCTTGCCTCCTATCTGTTGCCGACTGCTTTCCCTAAACCTAAACCCTAAACCCGAAACCCGAAACCCTAAACCTCGGAACCCTAGATTCCAAAACGCCAAATCCTAAGACCCTAAATACTAAAGCCCTAAACCCTCAACCCCTGAAGTTCAAAATCCTCTCTAAGCCGAAGTTGCGGAATTTAAGGGTTCAAGAAGCCCCAAAAAACCGGTTTAGGGTTTAGGGTTTAGGGTTTAAGGTTTAGGATTTAGGGTTTAGGGTTTAGGGTTACTATGTACTATGTAAAACAAAAAACAAGGGCTTTCCTAGGAAAGCCCTTTAGCCCCTAGCTTTGGAGATTTAGGGCTTTCGGGGTCTAGGGTTTTGGGGTTTAGGGTTTAGGGTTAGGTATTCTAGGGTTTAGGGCTTTTAGGGCTTAGGTTTAGGGATTAGGGTTTCGGGTTTAGGGCTTCTGGGGCTTTTAGGGTTTAGGGTTTAGAGCTTTTAGGGGTTTTAGGGTTTAGAGCTTTTTTGGGTCTTGGGTTCAGGGTTTAGGGTTTGGGCCGGCCGCGCTCCTTGCAAGCACACCAGATGGTCGACTGAGAGACACTTGTTTCTTGACCTGTTGAAGAGCGATCCTTGAGTACGTAGGCGTCTGAGTCAACAAGTCGATCAGGCATGTTCGTGAACGTAGGAAGTGTCCGTCCTCCGGGGAACGGGTCGTAGTAGAGCAAGGTGCTGAAGGACACGTCGAAGTTCGAGTCCAAGTCAGTTCTAGCAGTCTTGCCAAGCCCACAGAGTTCAGCACTGGGAGCAACGGCCTTCTCACACCGCTTGCCCGGATGCGTGAAGAGGACATGTACTTCAGTCGGAGTGACATCGTACTCAACACCACAGTGCCTCCCAGCAACCCCGAGGCAACTAGAACCCTAAACCCTAAACCCTAAGATCTCTCTGACGATGGGTCCAACAGGAGCAAGCCTACAAGAGTCAGAGCTGAGCTTGACTTCGCTTGGTCCAAGTTCGTAGATGCATGACATCCAGCAGCATCCTCGCTACTTGCTTGCCACTGCTTCTTTGCGAGGGCTAAACGGAACAGGTACCCCTAAATATGAACCCTTGAATGACACAAACCCTAAACCCTAAACCCTAAATCCTGGTAAGCTTCCCTGACCTCCTTGGTGAGGTAGATCACTGTGTTCGGATAGTCCGGGTCGTTCGGGAGAACCGGCCGCCGCACGGGCCGTGGCGCGTGAGACCTGGCCCGGGCGAAAATTAGGCTTAGGGTTTAGGGTTTAGGGCTGAGGGTTTGGGGTTTGGGGGTTAGGGTTCAGGGTTCAGGGTTCAGGGTTTAGGGTTTAGGGTTTAGGGTTTAAGGTTTAGGGTTTAGGGTTTAGGGCGTCAGGCAAGTCATGCTTTTGTTTGGGGTTCCTTTAGGGTTTAGAGTTTAGGGTTTGCGGGCTAGAAGGTAGCATAGGTAGCAAACTGCCCATATACCCAAAGCCCCTGTTTAGACTTCAGGGCTTATGGGTCAGGGTTGGGGGCGTAGGGTTTCCCATTGAGACGTGATTTGCGGTACCTACTTCCCTTCCCAGTTGAGACCTAGTAAGTTTACCCTAAACCCAAGTATCCCAGAATCCCCCAAAATATCCTAAAGCCCTGATATCCCAATGCCCTACCTGCCCTAGTTTCTCATAGAGGCCTGTCGTTGAAGCTACTCTTATCCAGCGTCCCCAGTCACCTTCTGCTTTAAAAGGCCCTAAACCCTAAACCCTAAAACGCTAAACCCTAAATCTAAACCCGATCCCCCCCCCTTCCACCCCAGAACAAAAAAAGAGAGGAAGGCGCTAAGAGTACTCGTGCGAGAGAGGCCGATTCGGCCTGCCTTGGGGGTTTAAGGTTCATTTAGGGTTTAGGGTTTAGGGTTTAGGGTTTAGGGTTTAGGGTTTAGGGTTTAGGGTTCAGGGTTTAGGGTTTAGGGCTTCGGCGATTGCGACAGTTTCGCCATGCAACCCAGGCAAGAAGATTTTTGGGGAATGGGAGGCCTTAGGAATTGGGGAGATTTTTGGAGGGATTGGGCTTTTAGGCCCAGGAACCGTATGACGTAGAAGGCGGCAACCGCACAGGGCTACCCCAAACCCTAAACCCACACCCCACTCCTGTAAATAGATGCCTCAACCCTGAACCCTGAACTTTAGGGTTAGTATACCCAAAGAGCCCAAAATTGCTTAATTAAGGAATATACCTTAAATCATATTAAGGATCCTTAATATGATTTAAGGAATATTCCTTAATTAAGCAATATTGGGCTCTTTGGGTAGGGGTTAGGGTTTAGGGTTTAGGATTTATGGCCGCCTACAACCCTAAACCCGCAAAAGCTAGGGCCCCCAACACCCCGAAACCCTGAAAGCCCCAGAATAGCTGTATCGGCAGTTCTGCTCCTTCTCCAGGAAAATGTGACATGAGAAGCAAGCCACGAAATGCTGAATGGATGGAGATGAAGAGCTGAAAGTTGCTGATCTGTGATGCTGTTTGTCCGAGTACCCTGGGCCCAAAAAGGTTTTTAGCCTTTCAACTATGGTATAGGTCATCCCCCTTCATGCATCATGCAACCGTGCTTCTGCTGAACCTGGCATCTTCCAACATGATGATCCACAGGGTTTAGTGCTTAGGGTGTGGGGTTTTGGGTTTAGGGTTCCGGGTATAGGGTTCAGGGTATAGGGTTTGCAAAGCCCATGTTCACAGAAGATCGCCTCCGCGTGCGCCCAGACGAGCAGCTGCTGTTGTCGTAGCACTTCTGAACTGGCACACAAATGGCGGTTGGGGGTGAGGGGATACCCTAAACCCTAAACCCCAAACCCTAAACCCTACGATGCTTGGGTGCTGTGACCCTAATCCCTACCCTGCACTGAGCCCCTCCAAGCAGCACTGTATGCTGTCCTGTTGCTAGACTCGGAGTAACCTAGGAAAGAAAAAACAAGAGTGCCCTTTTTTGGCTTAAAGGGGCTTAGAAGGGAAAGGTGTACGGCCTAAGATGGCCGGGTGTGAGTTTAGGGTTTAGGATTAAGGGTTTGCGGTTTAGGGCTAGAGTCAGGCCGTGGCAAGCCATATGCGCACTGTAAATGATCGCCCCTTGTCGGGCACCCTAAACATTTCAGAACATGGGAGGTTTAGGGTTTAGGGTTTCGGGGTTCGGGTTGACAACTCGAACAAAAGGTGATCCTCCTAAACCCTAAACCCTAAACCCTGAACCTAAACCCTAAACCCTAAACCCTAAACCCTAAACCCTAAACCCTAAACCCTAAACCCTTACGAACCTGTCGCATGTTGCCGCTCCCTAGATCAGAGGTGACTCCCAGACTCCAAGTGATGCAGTCAGGTCGGTGTCTTGGCGCACTGAGCCCCGAAAGTACGCTCTTTCTTGTGCACCGGTATGTATGCCCTAAACCCCTAAATCTTCAACCCTCAACCCTTCAACCCTAAACCTTAAATCTTCCACCCTGAACCCTGAACCCTGAATCCTAAACCCTAAACCCTAAACCCTAAACCCTAAACCCTAAACCCTCATTCAAGGCTTTGGGCTCAGAGCCCGGGGCCCTGGAGCCTAAACCCCAACCCTTACCCAAAGAGCCCAAGATGGCTTCATTGAGGAATATTCCTTTAATCATATGAAGTAGGGTTTACATTTCTGTTTTTGGTGAGTGTATATAAGGTTCCCTTTTTAAAATTGGTGAGTGTATATACCTGGTGTCCTTTTGGGGGTACAAGAAATATATACCCTACGTCATATCCGCCGACCCTGGCGGCGTGTTGGATGGGAAAAGGAGGTGAAAACCTCCCTCTTTCCCTCCTTACCCCCCCAAACCCCGGGGGGGGGGGGGGGTAGGGGGGGTCGGTGCACAATTTTTCGTGGAGGAACGCGCCCGCACACCCCCCGCCCCCCACCCCCCCCCCCCACCCCCCCACCCCCCCCCCCCCCCCCACCCCCCCCACCCCCCCCCACCCCCCCCCCCCCCCCCCCCCCCCACCCCCCCACCCTCATCTTCGAACCATGCGACCGGTTTAGACCTCTCTCAACTATGCTCCAGCGGGGTCGGCGGCTTGAGCGGAGGCTCTTAAATCCGGCCCCCGCGCCGCCCGTGGTCCAGGGCGGAGCCCGCGTCGCACTAAAGCGCTAGCTTTAAGGGCGAGCGCCCGAGCCCGACCCCGCCCAAAATTGCTTCAAATTCGCGCGGGCCCTTCGGGAGGCCTCCAAAACGGCATCCAAGGGGACGCAACACGCGGTGGTGCGAAGCACGAAAACCTCGTAAAAACCATGGTTTTTACGAAAAACCGAGGCCACAAAACACCCGCAGCACCCATTAAACCCTCACGGGCGCGCATCATCGGCCCTAGCTTTCACATGGGCGCGCGCGCCAGGCCGAAAACCACGTTTTTCAAGGTTTGGGGGGGTACCGGAAGCCCAAACCAGGCGAGCATCATGAGCATCAGCAGCCCTGGCCCGCGGGCCAAGGCAATAAAAAATGCTGAAAACGCTGAATCACCGTAAATACCGTCTTTTTGAGGTTTTTCACGCGTGCCTCCGACCCCCACCCCTGTTGCCCTGACCCGCCCCCAAATCGCATCATCGAAACCCACGTCCGGGGGGGGGTCTGCTGATGCTGCTGATTGCGCGGGGTCCGGGCGCATCATCGAGCCATCGCTTCTCTTGGGCTTCGTGGGGGGGTCCGGGCCCACGGCCCAGAGACCCGCTGATGCTCATGATGCTCGGTTTGGGGGGGTGTTCCACAGCAGGAAAACCTCGTAAATACCGAGTGTTTTGTGGGTCCACGTAAAAACGCCCCTAAAATCGCTCATTTTACGCGCTCGAACGGCTTCGTGCCTACAAAACACCCGAACAGCAGGACCCCGAATGCCCTTAAGGGCATTCGGGGTCTTGCTTTTGGGGTTTCGTGGGCACGCAAGCGTTCAAGCACATACAATCGGCGTGTTTAAGGGGGTTTTGGATGGCCTGGGGGAGGCCGCTGATGCTCATGATGCTCCCTTTCCTGGTCCCAAAAGGCTTCCCAAGCCCAAAACACGTGTTTACAGCGTTTTCTGAAGGTTTTTCGAAGGCAAAACGCATGCATAGAATGCTTTTAAGGCCCCCAAACCAACCCCACTGATGCTCCTGATGCGGGTGCGCGCGCGCGCGCGCGGCGCGCGCGCGCGCGCCGGGGGGGGGGGGGGGGGGGGGGAGGAGGGGGGGCGAAGGCAGGAGAAAGAGAGACAGAGAGAAGGAGAGGACAAAGACACGGGAAAGAGAAGACAGTGCCAAGGTTCAAGGTTTCGTGCTTTGGGGGGCGGGGGCCGGCCCGTGCCGCTAGGCCTGAAATAGGGATCCTTAGTTTCATTTCAGGTATATTCCTTAATTGAGCAATCTTGGGCTCTTTGGGTACCCTTCCGATTCCGCAAGTATAGAAGGGCTTTAGGGATTCTAACTTGGACCCTTAAGGTTGTACCCTTGTTGTTGTGTTTTTTTTTTTTTTTTTTTTGGGGGGGGGGGGGCTTTTTGAAGATCCTTAAGGTAGTATAAGGGCCATGTTAGGAGGAGATTAAGAGGAACCTTGAGGGGTGCAACCTTAGGGGTTCGAGTCTTAATCCGTCGAGGGGTAGGATTTAGGGTTGAAAACGCTAGCAAGAGGCCCTAGAAGCCCGAAAACCCTCCAACCTCTGGCAAGACTACGACACTTTGGCGACACTTCCACGGGTCCCGGTTAACCATAAGGTAACTACTACGCCAAACGGGAGGCAAAGAATAGCAAGTAGAAAGTCTCACTCAAAACATGAGAAGCACAAACATGTGGCCTGGCTGCAGCTCGGATGAGTTTTTCCAGTCCTGCCGGACAGTCTTACCCGCCCTAATTAAACCGTACACCGTAAACCGTAAACCGTAAACCCTTACCTCTAGCCCTCCTCCCCCCTCCCCCTCCCCCAAAACCTATGTAAGCCGTATAGGTTCAGGGCTTAGGGCATGTCAACCCTAGTTCGGGTTTAGGGTGCCGGGTTGCGCAAGCCCGAAACCCGAAACCCTGAACCCCAAAGGCTATAAACCTAAGCCCAAGCCCTTCTATCTATACCGGCCACGTGGGAGAGGCCCAAATAGATGGCCTAAATCTGGGATATGCCAGTCTTCGCGTAATGATTGAGGACCACCCCCCTCAATCCCAGGATTGTTGGGGCTCGAGGCGCGAACTTCTTGGGCTCAGGGCTGAAGACTTTAGAACTCTAGAGTTTTGCAGCTTTCTTAGGATTTTGGCTGTTTAAGTAGGGATCTAGGATCTTAGGTCTTTGAGGGTTGTAGGGTCTTGGGAGGGTTGTAAGGTCTAGGGGCTGGATGGGTCAGCGTCTTAAAAGGGCCTAAACCATAAACCCTAAACCCTAAACCCTAAAACCCTAAACCCTCAACCCTAAACCCTTACGTTTAGGGGTTTCATGAGGGGTGAGGAGACCGACTGCCGGCTTCACAAGGGCTTGCCTCTGCAAAGGGGTTTAGGGCTCAGGGCTTCAGGTTTTAAGGCTAGGGGTTTAGGGTTTAAGGCTTAAGGTTTAGGCCTAAGGGTTTAGGGTATTCGGGCTTGAGGTGTAGGGCTCAGGGTGGGTTTTTTGTGGGCGTTAGCGCCTCGGAGTGTCGGCAGCTTCGCCCTAGACCCAGAAGCGCATAGTGATAGCAGGGCCGAATGCTTTGGCACTGTCTGTCCGTTTGTCTGGTGTTCCTACTAGTTGCTTAAGTATTAAGAACACCCAAACAATGAAAAGAGACCTCAAAAGGAAAGACATTCTTTGAGAGGCTCTTAAGCAATTAGCAGGCTCACTCTGTACCACCTCAAACTTATGAGACTATAGCAAGGATTGGGAAAATATACGAAGGCAAAATGCATAAGATAAGATAGACCCAGTTTATTCAATCCAATTTTCAGATGATTACAATTCTACTCATTTGAAAAACAGACAATGATGTCCGGGAGAGTCTAAAGATGCGTACGTAATAAGAACCTAAGCCTTTCTGGCTACTACTTTGAAGAAACTGATGGAACGGGAACTTACCAAAACTCTGCGATTTGCTCCATCTTTGCTTTGCTTGTTTTGGGGGAGAGACAAGCGGGGCCGGGGGGGGGGGGGAGGGTTCTTTTCTTTCTGTTGGGGTGCTCGGGAAACCCAAAACCCGAAGAAAGGAGAAGCGCAAAGACCTCAACCCTCAACCCTGAGACCTGAACCATGAAGCCCTACAAGACGTACCCTAAACCCTAAACCCTAAACCCTAAACCCTAAACCCTAAACCCTAAACCCTAAACCCTAAACCCTAAACCCTAAACCCTAAACCCTAAACCCTAAACCCTAAACCCTAAACCCTAAACCCTAGACCCTGCCTGCGCGGGGCCCTCGTTCACGCAGTAGTGCTCTGGGCCCACAGCTGGGCCGAAGAGCTCCCGCCAGAACTCAGGGCACTAAAGGGTTTAGGGTTTAGGGTTTCGGGTCTAGGGTTAGGGTCTGGGGACTGGAATCTAGGGTCTAGGGTGTAGGGTGCAGGGTCCAGGGTCTAGGGTCTGGTCTAGGGTCTGGGGTCTAGGCTCTAGGGTCCAGGGTCCAGGGTCTAGGGTTTAGGGTTTAGGGTTTAGGGTTAGGGTTTAAGGATTAGGGGGTTGTGGGTAATCTAGGGGGTTCAGGCTTTTTAGGGTTTATGGCTTTTGCGGGGTTTAGGGAGCTGTATAGACGGGCTTAGGGGGCTTAGGTGGTTTAGGGTGGTTAGGGGTGTAGGGGGTTGAGGGGGTATCGGGTTTAGGCTGTACGCTGTGGTGCAGGGCTTTGCGGCTGTATGGCGGAGGTTGCTTCAAATTGACGCTAAACCCTAAACCCTAAACCCTAAACCCTGAGCCCCTTTTGGGCATCCCACTTCAGAAGGGATTCTGCCAGAAAGGTGACCTATCAGGTCGTGGCTGCCACTTCTGCCCTTGGCTGTATGTTGGCATACCCTAAACCCTAAACCCTAAACCCTAAACCCTAAACCCTAAACCCTAAACCCGAAACCCGAAACCCTAAACCCTAAACCCTATACCTTCCATGAATAGTGCCACCAAAGATCACTCCCGATGTGTTCTTCTGGCCAGGAGTGCCATGCTTCACGAAAGCTGCAGCCCATTGCTCCACATTTGTGCGCTTGGCTAGAAATTTCCATCACTTTCTGGTGAGTCTGCCGTCACGCGCACAAACCCTGAACCCAAAACCCTAAAACTAGACCCGACACCCTAGACCTCAATGGAATGAGGCGCGTCGGGGTCACTGTCAGCGGGCTCGGCGAGCAGGCTTCCAAAGTCGGGAGCTGAACGCTTACGGCCTAATGTAGATGAGGGATTAAGGGTTTGAGGTTTAGGGTCTAGGGTTTAGGGTTCAGGGTTCAGGGTTTAGGGTCCAGGGTTTTGAGGTTTAGGGGCTTTAGGGTCCAGCAATGGCTGCCTACCACTTCGATGCCGACCCTCATGATACCCTCCAGACTCCAGAGAAGTGTGGGAGTTGGTCTGTTTGACCCTGAACCCTCAACCCTCAACCCTAATTATAAACCCTCTGCAAAACCGAGCCTGCCACAAAAGCCCCCCCCCCCCCCCAAATCTAAGGGTAGCGACATGGTCCCTTAGTCCGGGCCCTTAAACGAGGACCTCTTATTATATAGTCCTTTGACCAAAAGGAGCCGTGGACCCCGAGCAATAAGAGGGCTTTCAGGAGTTTGTGGTTGAAACCCTCAAAGGCTATCTATCGCATGAAGGGATGCCCGGAAACCCAAAAAACCTAAACCCTAAACCCCAAATTCAAAACCCCAAACCCTAAACCCTAAACCCTAAACCCTAAGCCCTAAACCCTGCATGCATCGCCCAGGGCCCATGCAGAGCGATGCTTCAGGCACTTCTCGCCGGGTACTGCCCAGTAGCCCTGCTTCCTGCAGCTGTGCATTCGGGCTTTGGGGCTTGGGCTTAGGCTTCAGCCCTAAACCCTAAACCCTAAACCCTAAACCCTAAACCCTAAACCCTAAACCCTAAACCCTAAACCCTAAACCCTAACCCTAAACCCTAAACCACGATGTGGGAGCGGTTTGGGGTTTGGGGCTCTTGAACTCCACTAGCCTGACCGTAAGCCCTGAATCTGAAGTCTGAGGTGTACGAAGGCTGAGCCAAAAGGGTTGCCATTTAGGGTGTAGGATTTGGGCTTAGGGTTTAGGGTTTAGGGTTTGGGGTTTAGGACGTGGGGCTTAGGGTTTAGGGTTTAAGGTGTAAGGGTTTAGGGTACACTTCCTTAAAGATCATCTACCCTAAACTCTAAACCCCGAACCCTAAACGCCAAACCTTACAGCACAATGCTTTACTTTGGGGGGTTTTGGGGCTCGCGGGGTGGCGTTAGCAGCGGGTCTGTCCGCCCGCCTTGGCTTGGTGACGCGGGCTTTCGAAGGCGCAGGCGCTGCGGCCTGAAGATTGTGGCTTTCGGGGCCTTAAACCCTAACCCCCCAAAGCCCTATTCCCTAAACCCTAAACTCTAGACCCACCCACGCCTTAAACCCACAACCCTAAATCCTAAACCCTAGACCACCCTAAGGCCTAAACCCTAAACCCTCGTAAGCCCGAAAGCTTAAAGCCCCAGTGTTAAGAGGGCTTCGGGGCTCACAAGAGGACACGCAGAACTCGAAAGTGGCATTGTGTAAGTGTGTAAGTGTGTAAGTGAGAAAGTGAGAAAGTGAAACCCTAAACCCTAAACCCTAAACCCTAAACCCTAAACCCTAAACTGTGTGTGTGTTCAACGGGGTCTAGAAGGGATGCCTAACCCCAAGAAAAGAGGAGGCCTTGAAGAAACGGCTGGGGAGGGTGGGGGGTTTTGGGGTTTAGGGTTTAGGGTTTAGGGTTTAGGGTTTGGGGTTTAGGGTTTGGGGTTTAGGGTTTAGGGTTTAGGGTTTAGGGTTTAGGGTTTAGGGGGGTTTTGGGGTTTAGAGTGCCAGGAAGTTACGGGGGTATCTGCTTAGCGGTTTTACTTTGGACCCTTGGGGTTGCACCGCTGGGTTTTGAGGACCCTTTTTGCAGATCCTTAAGAGATACTAAAAAAGGGCTCTATTAGGAGTTTATTAAGGGGAACCTTTTGGGGGGGTACAAGCTTAGGTGTGCGAGTCTTAATCCCTTGAGGGTAGGGCTCAGGACCCTAAACCCTAAACCCTCAACCCTAAACCCTAAACCCTAAACCCTAAACCCTAAACCGTGAACCCCCAACTCCCACAAGGTACGGAATCTGTGGCCTGAGTTCCGATGCCATACTTGTCACCTGCGCAAGGCTCTGTGGTTTAGGGTTTAGGGTTTAGGGTTTAGGGTTTAGGGTTTAGGGTTTAGGGTTTAGGGTTTAGGGTTTAGGGTTTAGGGTTTAGGGCCAGGGGGTGATGCAGGTTTAGAGTTTGCCACTTGGGGTAGCTACATGGTCCCTCAGTATGAGCCCCTGAAAGGGGACCACTTATGTACTCCTTATATTCCCTAGACAACCCAAGGGCCCATACCTCAGCACCCCTGAAAGGAGGTAAGGACCACATGAAGGGCCCATGAAACTACCCTTAGGCTCCCCGGGTTGAACGGCTTTTGGGGCCTGTAGGTTGTTTCGGAGCTTTCGAACTTTACGGTTTTCTACGGTTCAGGGTTCTTAGGGTTTAGGAGTTTAGGGATTTGAAGGTCTAGGGTGTTAGGGCGTGCTGTAGGGGCGAGGGCGAGGACTCGACGTTGTGTTAAAATTGGGCTTTGGCCCTTCAGGGCTTGCCTTGGGCAACTGTGCCCCCTGAACCTATTAACTTATTGTTGGCTAGTAGGGAGAGGGAATGAGGTACCCTATGCAATCCCTTAAAGGGTATATATGGGGGGATATACCTCCTTCCCTACTAGCCAACAGTAAGATAAGCCCTGAGCCCCCAAAAGCCGCCACCAAAACCCTAAAGCAGCAAATCCTAAACACCCGCGGCCCTCGTCCAAACCCGTAAACCCCGAAACCCTCAAACCACAGGGAAGGTAAGGGTTTAGGGGGACGGCAATGATGGAGATAGAGATATGATGCAATTGGCCATTTAGTGGCGGGCGCAGTACTTTCGTAACTTGGGCATGATTTGATAGTTGCTTGTGGTCTTCGAATATGAGGAAAAATTGAGCATTCTTCCTGGCGAGGTTTTGAGGGTATGTTGCGTGTGAAATACGAGACATTCGGGAAATTCCACGCCTGACAGGTGCCGGGCCCCCCCTCCCCGCCCCCCCCCCCCTTCGCCCCCCCTTCGCCCCCCCTTCCCCCCCCCTTCCCCTCCCCCCCCCTCCCTCCACCCCCCTACTAAGGGGCCATATGTCCTTAAACCCTATAAACCCTAAACCCTAGACCCTAGACCCTAAACCCTAAACCCTCAACCCTAAACCTAAACCTAAACCCCAAACCCTAAACCCTAAACCCGACCGAAGCCGCGCCTAGCGAAAACGACGAAGGCCGCGCCAGGCTCGGCTCCTCGATGCGCGGAAGAGAACTAAACCTCTCTTTCATTTTTTATTTAAATGTTAAGGAGTTACTGGGCAAGGTCGCCGTTTTACTGGGCAAGGTCAGTTCGGTCAAAAAATCGACCTTGCCCAGTAAAACGGCGACCTTGCCCA